GTCTAGCAGCTGAGGGTAGATTGGGGATTCGCTTCAGTGCGCTCCCCAATTGGTGATATTGGAATTTAGTCATGTGGTCAGGAGGGGTGGGTGTGGGCAGTTCCGTTAACGGGGGAATGGTCCCATTCACTAGGACGTGTTGTAGCCTGCACGGGAATGGGAGGCCCAAGTTAGTTAAGGTCTGGGAGTTGTTGATCATGTGGAATTGTGTTGTGCCCGAGAGTTGGTATAGAGGGGAGACTGGTGGGGCGAGGTCCTGATTCCCTGCCATCCTGCTCCACGCCTTCATTGTTGCCATTATCGTGGGGTGTCTGGTGTCATATCTTCTCGTCTGGCCTGGGCGTTGCCACGGGAGCGAGCTCAGAGGGTCTTTTGAGAAGCTGGCTTCTATGGCTATCCAGAGTTTGTCTTTTGTCCCCAGGGTCCATTCGGCTATACGTTGTAGGTGGGTAGCCTGTTGGTACTTGGTCAGGTCCGGGAGTCCCAGTCCGCCTTGCGGTTTGGCTTTTGTAAGGATGTCGTATCTTATCCTGGCTGGTCGATTCCGCCAGACATATTTCATGAGGGCTGAACGAGCCTGGGTCAGAAAGGTTTGCGGGATAAGTACCGGGAGCGTTTGGAGCACGTATAGGAAGCGCGGGAGGACGTTCATTTTAAGGACGTTCACTCTGCCGAGCCAGGTGATGTGTGGTACGTCCCATTCTGCTAGGTCTTTGAGGACGCGTTCCAGGAGGGGGGGGTAATTTTGTCTGAACAGATGGGAGGGATCCGCTGTGAGCCATATACCCAAATATTTGAGGTTGTCTTTGCGCCAGTGGAGCTGGAATCGTGCTTTAAGGGTCGCAATCAGGGTGCGGTCGCATCCCAGATGTAGGATCTCCGACTTGGAGTAGTTGATGCGGAGGTTGGATAATGAGCCGTACGTTTCGAATTCCTGCATGATTGCCGGAAGTGATATTTGCGGGTCTCGGACTGTGAACAGCAGATCGTCGGCGTAGGCCGAGATTTTGCTTTCCCCCCATGTGCCTTTTATGCCCCCGATATCCGGTCTGGTGCGGATCGCGTTCAGGAAGGGTTCTAGGCTTAGCACGAACAGGAGAGGCGAGAGGGGGCAACCCTGCCGGGTTCCGTTGTGTATCTGAAATGGTGTAGATAATGTGCTGTTCACGTAGACTTGCGCGGATGGTCCGCTGTATAGGGCTTCAATCCATCTCCTCATGTTTGGTCCCAGTCCTAGATGTTGTAGTGTTGCGAAGAGGAAGGTCCAATCTACCCTGTCAAACGCCTTCTCCGCGTCTGTTGAGATCAGGAGTGCAGGCGTCTGTTGGCTCCTGGCCGCCTGTATCAGATTAATTACTTTGGTGGTGTTGTCCCTGGCTTCTCTATTGCTGATGAACCCCACCTGGTCTGGGTGGATCAATTGTGGCAGGGTTGGTTGGAGTCGGAGTGCCAGAACCTTGGCGAAGAGTTTCAGGTCGGCGTTCAACATGGAGATTGGTCTGTAGCTCGGGCAAGTCGTGGGGTCTTTACCCTCCTTGGGTAGCACCACGATGTGTGCTCTCAAGGTGTTGTGGTCGAGGGTCCCCCCTTGTCTGAGTGCGTTTAGCATGTTCAGTAGGTGCGGGATCAGTGAGTCTTGGTATGTTCCGTAGTATTTGATCGTGAAGCCGTCCGGGCCTGGGCTTTTCCCGCTTTTGGCCATTTTCAGGGCCTGTGATATTTCTTCCGCTGTGATCGGCTCCTCCATGGCGTCGGCCGTATCTGTGTCCATCGTGTTGGTGAGATACTTGGTGAGGTACTCGTTACGTTTTTGGGTCTGTGTGGTGTCCGACCCCTCTTCGGTGTCGTCCTGGCTGTGGAGGTTGTATAGTGCTTTGTAATAAGTGCGGAATCCTTCTGCTATTGATTTCGGTGTGTTGTGGGTGGTTCCATTATGTTTGATCTCAGATATGAAGCTTTTTTGTCTGGTTTTCCCGCTTTTGTTACCGTATTCGTAGAAAGTCTTCTGCGTTTGCCTGAATTGAAACGCGATCTTCTGGGATAGGTGAGAGTTGAGTTTTGCCCTGGCGATGACTAGTTGTGAGTATGTATCATCTGCCAAGGTAGACTTATGTTGCTTCTCCAGGTCCGCCACCGTTCGCGCAAGTTCGGCCGTTTCTCGGGTGTGTTGTCGTTTGCGATGCGCACCATGTCTGATCAGGACGCCCCTAATCACGCATTTGTGCGTTTCCCAGATCTTATCTGGGGCGGTGTCCGGAGCGCTGTTTGTTTGGAAGAATTGGTCTATGTGTGTTTTCACATCTTGTTGAATCAGGGGGTCCTCTAGTAGTGATTCGTTTAGTCTCCAGTTCCAGTGTTTCTGGAATGGCGTTGGTGAGGTGAGTGTGATGATGACCGGACCATGGTCCGACCAGGTCATGGGAGTTATCGTTGCTGTAAGGAGGTCGTCCAGGTGGCGATGCTGGAGAAACAGATAGTCAATGCGCGAGTAAGAGTTGTGGGGGGGGGGAGAAGAAAGTGTAGTCCTTTTCTTGGTGGTGTAGGGCGCGCCAGCAATCCGACAGCTGGAGTTCATGTAGGGTGTTTTTCATGCCTCGGAGGACATGGCTCGGGAGGGTTGAGTGACCTGTTGAGGTGTCCAGTTTAGGGTCCAGAGGCGCGTTGAAGTCTCCTCCGAGGATTAGTTTGCCATCACTAAAGGAGTCTAGCAATGCGAGGGTTCGCCCTAGGAAGGTTTTTTGTCCCTTGTTCGGGAGGTATAAGTTAGCGAACGTGAATCGCGTGTTATGTATAGTTCCTTTCAAGAAGAGAAATCTGCCTCCTGGGTCCGCAAGTTCCTCCTCTTTGCGGAACGGTATGTCCGCCGCAAAGAGTATTGTGACCCCTTTGGTCTTGGAATCTGGATTGGTGGCATGGAAGCTCAGTGGGTAGTGTTTATTTGAGAATTTGGGGTGTTTAGATGTTTGAAAGTGCGTTTCTTGGAAGAACGCAGTAGAAATGTGCAGGGATTTCAGTTCTCTCAGTGCCCTTGCTCGTTTCTGTGGGGAGTTGAGCCCTTTAGCGTTGATCGTATAAATTCTGAGGTCCAATTGGGGTGTCTTCTGGTGTCTGCGTGGGGGTTTAGGGTAGTGTTGGGATGGTCTGGGCCTTGGTCGCCCTCTGCGTACTGTCTCTCTTTGTCTGTGTTTCCCTTCTGTGTCGAGAGTGGGGACAGTAGAGACGGTAAAGAAAAAGGGGTGGTCTGCCTCAAGGGCGGGGCTCACGTGTGGGTTGTGAATCCAGTGAGCTCGCTCTGTGGAAGGGCAGTAACCCGTGGGGGTGTGGGTGACGAGTCTCTGCTCGCTGGCAGAGTCAGTGGATGGTCGGTTCGAGCAAGTATTGGAGGTGTCCGAGCCCTGCCGTCAGGGCGCTACAGTTAGTATAGAGACCTTAGGTAGCCAGTAGAAACGCAGTTTGTGCAATAACAGTTGCATGCACCCTTAACATTGAGCAGGTAGTAACCCTTTAGCTAGGCAATGTCGGTATATACATTTAGCGGTAATGATCCATGTTGACCTTAATATTTAGCAGTTAGTAACCATTTATCAGGCTTCGTTAATTTGAACGTTTAGTCTGAAATTGTCGTTGTCAGCCACCATGTATCTAGGCCTTGTCAGTATAAGCAGTGAGAGGCATAAATCCAAGGTAGCCTTAGCCGTTACCAATTAAGAACCCTTTATCTAGGCATCGTCAGTTTAAGCGTTTGATTATGCACATTAGCAGTTAGCGAGCAATTATCGTTTGTCTGGGCTTTGCCGGTAAAGGCCTTTAGCGCTAAAGATCCATGGTAACTTCGACATTTAGAGGTTAGCAACCGTTCGTCTAGACATTGTCAATTTAAACATGTGGTTATGCCAACCGTGGCATCCTGAACCGTGAACAAACAGTTACCCTTTATCTAGGCATTTTCATTTTAAAACATTTGGTGGTAAAAATTCGTATTAACCTTAACATTTGGTAATCAGTTTCTGGAGTTTGACTTTACAAGCCTTTAGTGACAAGCCACCGTGGAGGGAGTCCCCAGTCTAGGCACCACAGTCGTGCATCCCCTTCCTGTAGTGAGGTCCTGCAGGGTCATCAGTGTGTGCTGGAGGCTTGCTGGGTCGGTAACGGGTCGGGATCACAGGGTTTGGTCAGGGGAGGGATTATGGGGACAGATGGGCCCGGGTTACGTCAGGGTAGTTCGTCCGTGGGTTTTGGGCGGAGAGTTGTCCAGTTTGTTGGGTGCCATGGAGGTCACCCGTGGGGGGGGTGCGTCCGCAGGCCTGAGTCATCTCCGAGTCATGTGGTTGCCGTCTTGGTCTCTGTTAGTACTGTCAATCGGTATGGTGTGGGTGTCCGTCAATAGTCCGTCAGTAGTCCCGGTAGGGTATTGTTTCCGTGGGTCGTGGGGTCGCTGTCGGCGTTCCCTGTTAAGCACTGCGGACCCCAACCCCTCCCCCCACTGATGCCCCCCCCCTGGTTCGTGGCCCAATGTTGGGAGAATAATCTACAGAGCATTGCAGTTATACGATACCACGTCCATGTTGGTTTCTGGCGGCTCCATCTGTTCTGGATAGGGCCTTCTTCTGGTCTGGCCTTTCTAAACGTTGGTGGATAGGGGGAAGGTGGGGAGGGATGGGGAAAGGAGAGAGAGAGAGAGACACCCAACACCACACAATCCACCCCCTTCTGTGTTATGGTCCATGTAGTCCCATTTGCTAGACTGTCAGAGTCACTGCATATTTTATGGGAGCCTCATGGGCCCCGGTGGTCTTCTCGTTGTTGGAGGTGCTGTGTGGTTGGGAGAAGGGGAAGAGTGGAGAGATGATCCGTGGAAGGGTCAGCGTAGTCGTGTCCTGTCTTGTGTGGGTCGTGACGGTCATTGTAGATCCATTTCCCAGGGATGAGGTGCACTAAGTGGTTCGCGGGGCAGCTCTTGTGTTGCTCAGCTGGTGCGGCCGCCACCGGCGTTCTGCGCGTTACTCCTCATGGGCGCTCTGGTGGGGTGGGGCTATGTCCCCGACTAGCCCACCCGCTTCCAATGCACGGGCCACCGGTCTGCCCAAGTATCCTTCATTGAGGGGGCAGTCAGTCCAGTCCCGTACCGCGGTGGCCGGTAGTCCCAAGGTGTCCAGGAAGATGGGAACGTCCGCTGGGAGCCGGATTGTGGCTTCCATGTTGTCTTTGCGTGCTGTGAGCGCGAATGGGAAGTGCCACCGGTACCTTATCTGGTGTTCCTGGAGTAGCGTGGTGATAGGGCGGAGGGCCCTGCGAGTTTGTAGGGTGAGGTGGGAGAGGTCGTTGTACAACTCCACCGTTTGGCCCTTGTACCGCCACGATCGTTCCGTCCTTGCTGCTTGCATGATCTCTTCCTTCAGCTGAGTGTCTTGTATGTAGCAGATGACATCTCGTGGTGGGGCAGATGGAGGTGGCTTTGGGCGGAGGGCACGGTGCACCCTATCAATCTTCAGACGTGCTTCTGGGGGTCTATGCAGTATTAGGTTAAATAGCGGGATCAGCGTCTCTCTTAGGTGTTCTGGGCCTATGGGTTCGCGGAGTCCTCTTATTCTGATATTGTTCCTGCGGCTCCTGTTATCCAGGTCTTCTACATGGAGCCGCAGGTCAGTGAGTTGCCTGTCATAGGTGTGAGTGGGCTGCAGTACCTGCATTGTGGGGCCAGCTTTCTCCAGCGCTGTCACTCTTCCCTCCAAATCTTGCAAGGAGGTGCGCAGGGAAGCAATCTCAGTTCTGAGGGTCGTTTTCACCGCCTGTACTATTGATTGGAGGTCTTCTTTTTTAGGCAGGGAAGTGAACAGCGCATACCAGTCTGGTGTGGGAGTCCCCTGATCTCGGGAGCCGGCAGCAGTGAGCAGGCTGTCCTCAGAGACAGTTGATCCTGGTGAGGAGGGCGCCATGTTGGATGCCTCGTGGTGCGAGGTGAGGATCCCCGGCGTGTGTAGGTAGCTGCGGATGGAGGCAGACGGGCCCTCACCTTGCGTCCTTGGTGTGGTGGGGGTCATAGTGCCTCGCTTTGTGCGGCCCATTAGGTCTCCGGGTGGGCTGATGGACGCTTATTTTGTCGGCAGGGCTCGGAGCGCGGGGATTACGCCGCCATTCTCGTTCGGCGCCAAGCCACGCCCCCCGAGCATCTTATGTTTGAGCACTTTTATGTGCTGTTATTTTATATATTCTGTATCAATAAATTACTATTTTTTTATCCAGTGATTGGGATATATTTAAGTATATGGTTCTTTCCTATACATATACCTATTTAGTGACTGTGGCGCCCTGTTAGTTTGTATATATCTGTTGTTTTTTCATTGGATTTGGAGTATCCAATTTACAGAGGCTTGCCTGCACTTGGGTTACAATCAGTTTCTATTGTATATTCACCCACCTTCTTACCTCTTTGTCCAGAGATCCATTTGCCTCATCGGCAACGCTAATCCCGCGCTAGCCACCTAGCGGCGCAAAACCATCCTTATGAAAATCGAGCCCCAGCTCGTAAACATGGCCCTCACCGAACCGGGACCACAAGCCAAAGGTCTCCTATTCGGGGACAATTTTGTTAAGGAGTTAAGCACTTATGTAAGCACGTTTACGGCCCTAGACAAGGCACAGACAAGCATAAAGAGAGTGTTCTCTCCCAGAGTTTTTCGTGGGGCCGGCAGACACCGGGGCCGCCTGCCCGGCCGTTCATCCCGTGGTTCATACCGGGGATACCGAGGTCCCGCTGCGGCTAGATTTCAGCCACCAGAAAACAGAGCACCCTCGCCCTTTTTTCCGGTCAGAGGCAGACCATGGCAACCTCGAGGAAACAGAGGCACCTCATACAACTGATGGCCTTATGGTGAGTGCAATACCTTTCCCCTCCCCGGATATACATATCATGGGGGGCAGACTGTTACACTTTATAGAGATCTGGCAACAATTGACAGCAGACTTTTGGGTCCTAGATACCGTCTTAGGGTACCGCATAGAGTTTGTATAGCCCCCTGTCCAAACAGCCTGGCCACACCGAATAGCATTCTCCGCACACGACAAGAACCTGGTGACCAAAGAGATTCTCTCACTTCAAGAAAAAGGCGCGGGGTTCATTAGCAATCTATTTCTGGTACCCAAGAAGGGAGGCGGAGTCTGCCCAGTCATCAACTTGCGACCCCTAAACGCATTTGTCCGGTACCGCCATTTCAAAATGGAAGGTATCCACTGTCTACAAGACCTGCTCAGGTTGGGGACTGGACCTCACGATCCCTATAGCGGAAGAATGTCACCACCTGCTCCAATTTCAATGGGAAAGAGTGACGTGGAGATTCCGATGCCTCCCCTTCGGACTCTCATCTGCCCCTTGGTATTTCATCAAGCTACTAAAGCCTGTGGTCGCTTTATTGCGCAGTAGAGGCATACGAATGATCATATATCTGGACGATATGTTGCTCATTGCACATGAGGCCTGCCAACTCCGACAGCATCTATCCTGGGCAGTGACCCTGCTACAAAATTTGGGATTCCTCATCAATTGGGAAAAATCGGTACTTACCCCGTCCCAACACATGGAATTCCTAGGATTCCACATAGACGCAACAACCGGGACACTCAGTCTGCCAACAGAGAAAGTCAAGAGCATAAAAAAAGGAGATCCGCAGGACACTTACAAGACCAGTGTTAACTCTGCGACAACTAGCCAGAGTAATCGGACTCCTATCAGCCTCCATCCAAGCAATATTCCCGGGGCCTCTACATTACAGTGCTCTGCAACAACTAAAAGCCACACACCCACGCTTGGGGCACTCATGCTCTGACTCCGTGCAACTCGACCACACAGCCAAACAGGAACTCACCTGGTGGCTGCATCAAATGGAAGCATGGAACGGCAGAGCAATCTTTGGAACTGCCCCAGACTTCATCATAGAGTCCTTACCAACCTGTACAACCAGGGTTTGGCCTACTGCACCATCAATGTTTACAGGTCTGCGATCTCAGCAGGACACCGGGGAATAGATGGGACCCCGGCAGGTCAGCAACTGTTAGTATGCCGTCTCCTTCTAGGAATTCGGTTTGCTCGTCCACCACAACCCCGATACACGTCTCTGTGGGACGTCAATTCAGTTTGCAACTGTTGGAAACTTGGCCACACAATGAGGCACTCACACTTAAACAACTGTCAGTGAAACTGGCCATGCTCCTCTGCCTGATCTCTTGTAAGAGAGTGTCAGACATAAGAGCGCTGGACGTTGATGCACACTCCTTTACTCCCACGGGAGTTTCATTCAACATCTCCAGACGTATGAAGTCATCAAGTATTTATGCATGTTTTTTTCTACAAATAAACAACTTAGCTTTCTTTGATGCTGAGGAATAAAAGAAAGAGATAAGCCTAATAGGAGCCTCCGTGTCCTTTAATAAAATCTCTGCAGCGATTACATAATCAAATGTCAGTTGGCTTTGGCTCTTACTACAGGTCATTGGCTGCTCACTGATAAATATTTTCACTAGCGATTCACAGAAAATCTGTGATACTACAAATTCACCTTATTTGTGTCCGGGACCATTTCAGTAATGGAATAAAATAGTGATTAAGTAAAATACCATAATAAGCAAAAGTCGTTTGAGGTTTGCCAATACCGTGTGTGATAGGCCTGTAAATAAGTGGGCAAAAGGAATACCAATCTTGTTATACCAAAGATATTTAATACAAAAACACAAGATATTATACCGGCATATTTATGAGGACATCTTAACAAATGCCTTTCTTAACGCTTGTATTGGCTGAGGTATATAAACAGCATAAGGGAATGACTTCCAGCGGCCTATTGTTTTGATCACATGTACCGGGATGTCTTGGCTTGAGGCAGTGGATGTTGCCCCTATCCTGAATGAATGTCCTGAATATCTGGTGGCGTTCGAGCCGAGTCATGTTAATAATATCCGGATGTATTGCATAAATTTTGAAGTGGTAAGGGTGGCCCTGTGAAGTGAACAGAGAGGGAGTGAGGCGTGTGCAGTTGTTGACAGTAGAGAAGTGTCAAACTTTAACCGGGCCCCAGGTATTGTCGGTGGGGTAGTAGTGTATAAGAACCACTTGACCCATCTGGCTGGTCTTAGTTGAGGGTAGGCTTAGCACATAATTGTCCTGTAGTTTGTAAAGGTTTGAGTACCGCAGGCAATGCTTAGCATCGTGTTGCCCTGTGACAGTGAACTCTCTGGGTCGGAGAAAGCTGTAGACAGCCAAGTATATGGCGGTTTTAAGAACGGTGTTTGTATGAGGTTCGAAAGGTGTGGTATTCAGTAAGCCTGAAATATGTTTGAAGAGTTGTAAATCGATAGGCCACCTATGTTGTGGAGTAGGACTGTGGGATTTGATTATACCCTTAAGGAGGGTTTTGATGGGGTAGGATGTGAGGAATTGGTTAAGAGATAATGATGTAATGTTAACCCTGTGAGCGTATTTATGCATGTTTTTTTTCTACAAATAAACACCTTAGCTTTCTTTGCTGCTGAGGAATAAAATAAAGAGATAAGCCTAATACTCGCCTCCGTGTCCTTTATAAAATCATGACTTTACGTCATGTAATTAGTAAAATCTGGTAATTAATACCCAAACTTGTGATGTCACAATAAGCTACATTCTGACATCACAGCTCTGTCTGCAATGTTATGTAATATGTCTCATAATTTTTTTTTACCTTTTAAAACTTTTTTTTAACTTTGTTTATTCTATAAGCTTGAACATACAATGGAATGAATATTAAGTGCATTCAAAAAGTATTCAGACACCACAATGTGTTTCACTTTTATATATTGCAGCTTTATACTACAATTGTTTAAAATCTTAATTTTTTTGTCTCTCACATGAATCTACCCCATAATAACAAAGCAAACAAAAATCAGATTTAAAAAATATATATATTTAATTTGTAGTTTGCAAAACTTTACAGCTCTCAAAATTCTAATTGGTGGTCAAGTATGGCTCCTTGACAGTCTATTGCAAAGATAAATTCAATTATCTCGAAGGGAATAAAGTCTCATTGACAGTAATGAGCTGCTAGTTTGTTAACAGTTAAAAAATATTTTTAAATATGTGCAAAGATCCATAGGAACCATGCTAGATTGGAAAATGGATAAGATGGTTTTATCTTCAACCACTACAGCAAGAGTGGAGTTGTAGTGAGAAAAAAAATAGTAGTGATAACTCTGTTTCCATATCAATTTGGGCACCATTTCATATGCAGTAGATTAAGACAGCTAAATTATTAGCTAGGAGTTCCCAAACTCTCATTTCTAATTACAAATGCCATCACCCCTCAGTTATCAGAACACCAGCAGCACTCCCAGGACTGCATCTAGCAGTCTCATTGGGGTAACATATATAACATTGGGGTAAACAGTAGTTCACAGGAAACTTCCCTGCTCCCTGCAGCAAAATGAGTTCAATCTCCCAGGGTGCAACCTCTCCAGTAAGACCTATTGTCGCAAGGCTCTCTGTACACCCAAACACTCATCAAGTCTGTATAATGACTTGGAGGTTGAGTGAGGTTCTTTCACTTGCAGTGATATTCAGTAAAGTAACCATCGCTGGCAATTTGAAAGTGAATTTTAGAATTTAGTCTAATATACCTGAATTTTCCAAGTCAGGTCTATTTTCATTTTGACTATTGTAGCTTTAACCCCTTAAGGACACATGACATGTGTGACATGTCACGATTCCCTTTTATTCCAGAAGTTTGGTCCTTAAGGGGTTAAAGTAGATTTGTCCATTTGTTTTTGTTTTTTGCATTTCCCCAGAAATGGACAAGTCTGGTTTGGGTTTGGGGGCCGAGGGTTGCATGGGGGTTTATTTACCTTAGGATGTCCCTGATGGCCGCCGCCATATTAAAACTGCAGGTCTCTTTGGGTCCTGGTACTTTAGCTGCCAGGAGCCACGGTAGTGCTGTACAACACTCTCAAGACTACAGGGTCCTCCATAGACAATGTCTGAAACCCACAGTCGTTATATGACGGCTGCTGGGATTGGACAGAAGTTGACAGAGGAACTCCTCCTTTTGTCAATCTCAGGCATTACCATAAGAGAAGTAGTCCCTACTAAGTCAGCTGTACTTTCAATTCAACTATTCTAGCCTTAAATTTTAAATTCAGTTTGAATTCTCACTTTAGCAACTCCTAAACTTTAAGTTATTCTTCTCCAGTTTGGAAAGACTAGCAAGGTTATTTACTAAAGCGAAAAATCAAAGTGAATTTTAAATTTGCAGGAACACATAACGTAAGGAATGCAAAACTGTATTCCTGACACTATAGTGTCTCTCTGCTTATTTCTGTTGGTCTGCTACCCCGCTTAGGTGTTGAAATGGTTAAAAAATCTTGTTAACATTTACCTCTGTCCCTCGGCACAGGCTGGGTCTACTGCTCCCATGTGCACATTAGAGCTTCCCCATAGGAAAGCAGTCAATAAATATGTAGGATTTTGAAGACAGACATTCTAATGCAAAGTGTGATGTACAATGTCATTACATATTTCTAAACTCCGTTAGAAACCTGGAAGACAGCCACTAGAGGTTGTCTTAACCCTGCAATGTAAACATTTCAGTTTCTCTGACTGTGCAATGTTTTAGATTTTATGGTTGAGGAGACAGTAGCACTGCACCCAGACCACTTCAATGAGATCAGGTCGTCTAGGTGCCTATAGTAACCCTTTAAGTCGAGAGTAGCTGGGCTGAAAGCATAGCTGACTTACAGAATGTTTCCACTTTGGCTATTTTGAACTTAACATGTATTCCTGACACTATAGTTGTAATAGTGCTGTTTAGGTCCCTGGCTCCCTTGTTTCATGTTAAAAAGGTTAATTTATTGACCTTTTTCCAGCTATGCCGGGTCTCCTCGTGGCTGGCTCTGCCTCCTTGGCTGAGATCATCAAACTTGATAATCTTAGCCAACCAAATGCTGGCCCAAAAGGCAGTGTTTACATTAAAAGGCCTGCATGGATATATTACACACACCAGAACAACTACATTAAACTGTAGTTTTCCTGGTGACTACGGTGTCCCTTTAAGTTTTAAATTCACTTATAGCTCTCAATTTAGCGAATAACCCTGTTAAATGTGATGAAGCTTTAAGTTGAGTTTGCTTAAAGGCACACTCTGGGAGCTAATACTACTTTAATGTATTGGATTTTTTTGAGGTTTTGGTCTCATTAATATGTTGTATTTTTTTTTGCATCCTTAAATCTTTATAGTATTTGCATAAAATAAATAAATGTTTTGCATAAGCCTGCATCTTTAGCCACCCACTCACTTAGTTTTCAAAGGTATGCACACAGCTAAGCCCCCCTGACCGTACTGAATGATCTGAACAACACAACCTGCATTAAGGAGAGGACACCCAGGGAAGCATATAGTAAGGATATCACTACCTGTTTATAGTTTCTTTGATTGTAGCTAACATGTGAATTAAAATCAGCTCACTCACTCTTAGCGTGGATAAGAACATGAATACTGCAATTGTAATAAGCACAATGGATTTAACTCCTAGCTAAGACAGGCTCATTTTTAAAATAATGTAACAGTCGTAATGACTAAATCATGAATAAGCTTGGACATTTATGGAAGGAATGAAGTGCAGTAAACAGGCTTAACATATGCTAGAATGCCACTAGAACCAGACACATTATCAGGATTTGCTCTCATTAAAATAAAGTAATGGATCAAAACAAGATGGTGGCTACAGAAACCGCAAGGCCCTAGTGTTTAGATGGCAGGTCGTCATATACTTGGGCACTGACATTCAATCAACTCCCACAGTCGTCAGATTTAAAGTTGAACGGGAAGGTTCGCTGGGTTGATCATCGTTACAGTGCCAGGTAGTGGCGCCCCTTTAACACAAAGCTCCGGAGCTCCCTGACACCAAATCCTTCCCATGTGGGAAAAAAACAAGAGTCCGGATAGTCTGATGCCGATGCTGTCTAGCGGACCTCCACTTAGGTGGACCATGTGCTGGTTATAAACCCCATTTGGGCACCTGCCCAGGAGGGCAGGTAAGTAGAAAGGCTTAAGCTTGTGAGGTTGACCTGCCCAGAGGCCCCTGTCTCCAGCTTCTCTGGTCTTCCCCAGATGGTAGGGTCTGATGCTACTGACTGCTCTTCCAGTTGGGCCCAGAAGCGCTCAAATATTTCCTCCAGCCTTGACAGGATTCGACTAGTGTAGTCTTGCTGATCTGAGCATTGCAGGGGCAGTCGCTGTAACCCAGGAGTAGTTGCCTCCACCATTTTGAGTAGTACAGTCACGTCTCAATAGTAAGTGGGATCGATCCTGCATGCTATTAATAATTGTGTTTATTAGTCCAGTGGAGACCGGGATAACCCCCGCTGCTCCGGAAATGGGGTAGGTGAGAGGTGGGTTTCTCAGAAACCTTACAGCGGGGAGAGCGGCCGCCTCTCTTCAGCTCAGTTGGTTGTAGGCTGCAGGTTGTAGGCTGCCCCCCACTGAACTTTTATTAAGTGAACTTTGCCAGAAATTTGAACTATTATGAAGTGACAATATTGCACCCTCCTGGCTGTCAATCATACAGCTGGGAGGGTGCTCTTTTAATCGTTTTGTGCCAAGCCTGTCACTCTGGTCACTCTCACTCAGGACTGGACACACAGAGCACTGTTGAAGCAGAGTATCTCAAGTGCGGTTTACACATCACATTTAAGAATAGGTGTGCTTTGCACTTTTGTTGGATACCAGGGACCAAAACTGGGACAGGCCAAATTCTGTACTGTCCCACTAACTTTTGGATGGTTGAGAAGCGTGTGTCATGTCTTATGTAATGTGGCACAGTAGTAGTGATTACGGTTTACAAATTACAGGCCAAATAGAGTACAATGTTTCTCCATTTCAGTACAGCTGTTGTGACCTAAAATTTGATATTTCCTTCTATACCCAACATCCCAATTCAGTGAACTGCTCTGTTGCAAGTTTTTTTACCCCAATTATTATTTTTTGCCATTTATATAGCCACAACTTATTCTGTGGCGCTTTGCAATATTAATTCTCCTATTTTTTTATTTTGCAATTCTATATTAAGCTAATACACTCCTTTGCATTCACCATAAATCCACCCTCCCCCTCCCCCCAAATACACTTTAATAAATAATCCTCTAAATATGGCAACATTAAAAGATTTAATTCAATAATAAAACCACTCTGTTATTAATATTATTATTATTTTATTTAAAATGACATCCTAAGCTTTGTTTATCACACAGGTTCTAACAGGAGACCATAGACATGGCTCATGACATAAACAGACTTCTTTCTCCCTGGAGTTATTACTCTATGATCACAACTGCACAGTTTCCGGTAAACTGCATCACTGACGTCATCCGCACGGCTGCGGCACAGAGCTCTAAACACTAGAGACTCAATCCCCCCTCTCTCCGTTTTGAATAAATGTCTCATTCAGCGGGAACCTCTTGCCGGAGACCACTTTACCGCTCTCGGATATTTGTCGTTGCAACCCTCCGAGCAATTAAGGGTATAAAGTATCCACGGGAAGCGATAATAGTCAGAGCAGTCGCCTTTAGTGTGTAGAGCTTTTTTGTGGGCGGGGTTTGGCTGGAGCGGAAGTGAGGTCACTAGCCCCGGAACACCCGCCTGGTGTGAGTGTCCAGTGCTGTTATTGTGCCTGGTGAAGCAGGAGCGCATTCCGGGGTACACACGGCGGCAGCATGTCTGATCAGGTGGGGGCAGGCCGCCATAGCTCCCCTCCAAGGGGAGGCCATGGGGGTCTAATCACAGAGCAGCCATTGTGGTGAATTGGAGACAGGATTGCAAGATTAGGCAAAAATAGCTGATCTGGAAAAATTATCTGATCGGAGATTGATTAGTTCAGTCTGAGTCTCCAATTCTCTGTCATCCACTGTTTATGGAATGGGTCCCTGTGTGTGTGTGTGTTCTCCTGTCCATCCCTCTGTGTGTGTGTGTGTGTGTGTGTGTGTGTTCTCCTGTCCATCCCTGTGTGTGTGTGTGTGTGTGTTCTCCTGTTCATCCCTCTGTGTGTGTGTGTGTGTGTGTGTGTGTTCTCCTGTCCATCCCTGTGTGTGTGTGTGTTCTCCTGTTCATCCCTCTGTGTCTGGACCTGATATGTGGTTATAGTCATCAGCTATTTGGTGGCACTCTACTTTATGTTTATTTAACCCCTTAAGGACACATGACATGTGTGACATGTCATGATTCCCTTTTATTCCAGAAGTTTGGTCCTTAAGGGGTTAAAGGACCGTCATGGATATGTGTGTGTGTGTCTACGTATGTTGTGTAATAATGTCATTTTATGGAAATGGTGTGACCGCAGAGGAATTTGTGAAATGACGCCGCGTACTACTACGCCTGCCTCCGCCACCCCCAAAAATATATTGTATTCTATGTTCACTTATAAATGTATACTTTAATTTTGTTCAGGTTATTTGCTGAAGTGGCAGTTGCTATAAATTGAAAGTAAATGTTAACATTTATTTAGAATTTTTGATCAATAAAAAAAAAAAGAAAATGCTATGTTGTTAATTTCAGCTGTTTTAGCCTAAAACTTTTAAAATTGTATTCACACTTTATGACAGCTCGCACTTCAGAAACCAACCTTTTTGTTTATGTACTTTACTGACAGGGTTATTCGCTACAGTGAGAGCAAGAGCCATGCGCGCGCATTCAAACAGCCCATATGAAAGCATTACTCAATGCTTTCCTATGGACATCCAGCCTCTTCTCACTGTGATTTTCACAGTGAGAATTGCGGAAGCGGCTGTCACTGAGACAGCCACTAGAGACTGGATAAACCCTCAGTGAAACATAGCAATTTCTCTGAAACTGCTAAGTTTTCAGCTGCAGGGTGAAAACTAGAGGGACCTGGCACCCAGACCACTTCATTGAGCTGAAGTGGTCTGGGTGCCTATAGTGGTCCTTTAAAAGGACACTATTGTCACCAGAACAACTACAGCTTATTGTATTTGTTCTTGTGAGTATAGTCAGTCCTTTCAAGCTTTTTTGCAGTAAATACTGTGTTTTTAGAGAAAATGCAGTGTTTACATTACAGCCTACGTATACCTCCAATTGTCACTCCTCAGATGGCTACAAGAGGTGCTGCACAGTGTGCAGTACTGCCATTCATTGTCTATACCCTCTGCATGCAGACACTAAACTTTCCTCATAGAGATGCACTGATTAAATGCAGCTCTATGAGGAGATGCTGATGTGTTTGGGCTTGTGCTGGCTCTGCCCTTGACCCGCCTCCTTGACACTGTCAGCCAATTCCATGCTTTCCTATGGGAAAGCATTGTAACTGGCTCAGATCACCACTTCTGATGATGTCAGCCAAGCAGGCAGATCATAGGCAGAGCCAGCACCAGCAGAATGGAATAAAGGCAATAATTTACTATATTTAGAGGGGGGGCGGGGAGGTTGAGGGGGGAGGTCTTGATGGTGATTTTAGGAAAAATGTAGGCTCAGGAATACATGTTTGTGTTCCTTTAAATTTGAAAATCACTTGGTATTTTTCATAATTCTTACTTTAGTTAACATTGTTGGTGTGCGTGCGTGCGTGCGTCTCTTTTAAATATAAGCAATAAAATATCTTTAGCTCACAGTGATCTAATTTAAATTAGTTGTTCCAGTGAGCATAGTTAGTCCCTTCAGGCTTTTTGCTGTAAACGCTACCTTTTCAGACAAAACACAGTGTTTACATTGCTGCCTAGGGACACCTCCAGTGGCAGTCACTTAAATGGCCACTAGATATGCTTTCTGGGTCTGTGCAACACTGATGCTCAGCGTCTCCACGCTCTGCATGGAGAAGCTGAATGTTCCCCATATAGATGCCTTGAGTCACTGCATTGCTTTGAAGAAATGCTGATTGGCCAGGGTGGCATCTTGCTGCGTGTGCGCAATAGCCTTCCAGTGCTTTCCTATTGGCTCTCAAGCTAAATAGTGTTTTTATCACTGTAGGGTCATTAATGCACATTTGTTCCTGACCCTATAGTGTTTCATTTGAATTCCTGACAATTCTCACTGTAGGGAATAACCTTGGATGTGCATATATTCATTAAGATAGAAAATCTGTGAAATCACAGCATTATTTGCTCTTTGTTTTAAAGGATTGGTCTTCCACAAAACGAATGACTTGTACAATTCATGTCCCTGTATTATTCACACAATTTGTACATTGTGCTGGGGAACGTGCGAGAAAATGTGTAGGGTAACTGAGGCGTTTGTAGGCCTCCTCAGAAGATGCTTATCCAGTTGCATTTGTTTTGAGGGTCCATAGAGATTAGCTCACCACAATGTACAGGTGCACAAAGTAAAGGAACTATTTAACCCCTTAAGGACACATGACATGTCATGATTCCCTTTTATTCCAGAAGTTTGGTCCTTAAGGGGTTAAACACTTGGTAGCTGCAAGGCTGGAGCAATGTATGTAGAATTTGTTGTGTATTGCTGGATCATTTTATTATGTTCCTGAAACTTGGAGCTGACAGTGTTAAGACCATTGTTTGCCATTTACCGGTTTTATTACTTTTGCAACTAACGGCACTCTGTTTATTAAACCATGTTGAATTGAAAACTGAATTGCAAAATATTCAAAGTATTTTCAAGCTTCTCCTAAATTTTGACTTCCAGCTCATCTCCCAGCATGTATTATGCAGTTCAAGTTGAGAGCCAAATTTTAATAATCAGGGCTAAATAACCAGTTCCACGTTCCCTGAAACCCCCACGGCACTTGTGACTTTGTTCCGAACCACCTAATGTCAATTCTGTATGTAAAAATATGTCTGTCTGCAATGGACGGATAAAACTTCTCACTTGCAGGCAGTGACTGAAGGTGGAAGCGCGATTGTCACGTCCCTCCTTCAATTTTCTGAGTCCTCCCACCTCCCTAGTCTCGTTTTTTTATTTAAAAAGTCTTTATATTTTGTAATGTATCGGTTTTTGCCTCCACGTAACGGCTCAGTTGTGCACATACTCTCTCAGCTAGCAAAACTGTCCAATCACAGGCTTCTCTATGAGAAGCCAGTGATTAGACTGTGTGAGCGAATTGGCTTTGACCTTAACTGATTTGATTAGTTTTGGTTTTAGATTGTAAGCTCTTTTGGCTGTGGCCCTTGTCCTCTACTATTCCAGTATGTCAATATTGTTTTTTTAGAATTAAGTGTTTGTATTCTGTACCAATTGTACAGCACTGCAGAATATAAATGTGCGATATAAATAATTGTAATTGGTTATCTGTGTGAGGGGAAAAGTAATTCCAAACATCTGTCATTGTGCTGTGTTATTTACTAATCTGTCCAGGCCCTAGAAAGTCGCTTACATACTTAAAAAGGAACAGAACATGGGTTAACAATTTACAACTGCTCAATGGTTCAACGACATCTCAATGAACCAGGGTACTGCGTGCTGTCTCAATTACTGGTAATCTTAGAAAACGTATTAATGCGATATGACTACCTAGAGCAGGGATAGGCAACCTTCGGCACTCCAGATGTTGTGGACTACATCCCCCATTATGCTCTTACACCTATAATCCTGGCAAGGCATCATGGGAGGTGTAGTCCAAAACAGTGCCGAAGGTTGCCTATGCCTGACCTAGAGACTAGCACATGCCCTTCCATGAGTTCTCTTTGTTATCATTGTGATAGACACAGGAACACTACTACATGTTTTGTGGGCTTGGCCATCTTTACATTCCTTTAGGTTCCAATTGCAAACATTAATTGCATTCCAGACAAGGATTCTTCTACCGCTAATGCCAGAGGCATTTATCATAGACGTTTTTCTAGTTCGCGTCTAAAGCCTAAACAGAACTATATTTGTGCTTGTTATTGCTCAAGCTTAACAATCGCTCCTGTTTGTTTTGAAGAGAGTGGCTACATCAGTTATGTCACAGGCTGTCTGTAACCTGTCATAAACTTGGAAAACCCTGGTCTTTATGGCACTCTAACGTACTCTAGCTATTTCATTTGTCTGAGGATTGGAGTATACCCATACTGTCTGTCCGTATCTTGCCTCATTATGTTCTAGTCTAGTGTATGCCATGGTATCTTAAAAAAATAAATAAAATGGGGCTTTTTTTTTTTTGTTTTTTTTTTGTCTTTTGACTATGGGATACTTTGAGTATAGAATAAAGGAACGCTTTAATATTACTAGTTTTTTTAAGTGTAAGTATTTGTTTAGCCCTTCCCCTATTTATAACAAATACTAATTAATTTGCCTGTAATCCTGCACCAAAACAGTGTCTATTCAGCTGCCTGGTTTACCAGCAATTCTATCATCATGCTTGATGATCTCAGGTCCATCCCAAGGCACGTGCACGGCAGTTGCAACGCTCGGCCAATACAATTCTTCTCGTAGAGTAGCTATGAGTCCTTTTGTGTTAAAGGACCACTATAGTGCCAGGAAAACATACTCTTTTTCCTGGCACTATAGTGCCCTGAGGGTGCCCCCACCCTCAGGGACCCCCTCCCGCCCGGCTCTGGAAGGGGGAAAGGGGTAAAAACTTACCTTTTCCAGCTGGGCGGAGAGCTCTCCTCCTCCTCTCCTCCAAGTTAGCGCCGGTGCTGAATGCGCACGCCATGCGAGCCGCGCCACAAGATTCAGCCCTTCTCATAGGAAAGCATTTACAATGCTTTCCTATGGACGCTGGCGTGTTTCACTGTGAAAATCACAGAGTAGTGGCTGTCAATGAGACAGCCACTAGAGGATTAGGGGAAAGGCTTAACCCATTCATAATTATAGCAGTTTCTCTGAAACTGCTATAATTATGAAAAAATGGGTTAACCCTAGAGGGACCTGGCACCCAGACCACTTCATTAAGCTGAAGTGGTCTGGGTGCCTAGAGTGGTCCTTTAAGATTGGCTATAGCTGCTCTGTCTTCTAGCTTCGTCTAATCACTGCAGGACCAGTGACAGTAGAAAGATATGGAATTCCACTACGCCTGTTTATGAAGTGGTTTAAGAAACACTCTAAGCACCAAAACCACTTCATCTTAATGAAGTGGTTCTGGTGCACATATGCTGCCCTTTTGTGAGGCAGTGTAACACATTGGCATTTCTTAGAAGTGTCAGACTGGCTTCAGCAAAATGTAAACCCTGACAGTTGTTAAAGGCCATTGAAAATTGAAGGTCTTCATGTCTAGTGTCATCAGGCTCAGTATAATGACGCACAATGCTGTTAATGCTTCATCAAGAGTGGAACTACTGCCAATATAAATTTTTTTTGTTTATTATGTTCATGTCTTGTAGTGTTCCTTTAATATTATTGACATTTTGTTGTGTGTATTTTAGTTGGTTAATGCAAGATGGTAGGGGGTTTTAAGGATGAGCGGCATCAAGGATGGAAAGCTTTTTACTGTGAATTCAGCAGTGTAATTCTCATTGAATGAAGGTGTTTTCTAATTTCGCATCTTTCCGTTGTGCTGGAGTCTCATCTATTTTCTAGAACATTATTCGTCAGATTTTCTGCATCTTATACCTGCTGATTCCACACTCTAGAAACCGTTCATTCCACGTAGAGCTGAATCAGCAACATTGGATATGAAAGGACATTAAGTGTGAATAGACTGTGTAAGAAGGCACATCTCACTGCTGGAAGGGAGGGGGCTGTGAAATCATTCATTACATTAAGCGACAATAGGCATATATGCGCGCGCGTGTGTGTACTTTTTTGGAAAAATGACTACTTTGCTTAATTATAGATCATTATTTTCTTTTCTGCCCTCGTGGTTTTGATTTGCTTTAAATTGTATTATTGTGCTTTTTATTTATTTAAACCTTTTTTTTTAAATATTTTTATTTTCCCACTCAGGAAGCAAAACCCTCCAGTGAAGATTTAGGGGACAAGAAAGATGGAGGGGATTATATTAAACTCAAAGTAATTGGACAGGTAAGACAGTATGTCCTTATTTCCCCAGTATATTTTTATTTTTGTTGGGGCAGAGTACAAAGAAATTTAATGTCAGTCTCAAATTCTGCTGCCTCAAATAATGATTCCCATCACTGGCAGGCAGCCTGACATTCAAATATTTGTATGGTATGCCTTTGTGTTAGTAGGAAAGATAGGGAAGAATATGACAGTCCTGCTGCTGTAACACAGTTCAGTAGAAAAAAATACAGGGATGGAGGGTGGGATGTAATAGATGCATAACGGCCCTTTGTTAGGAGAAAATTCTGGATGTATCCATATTTCATTACACTTGCTGTTCATTCCTCTAAAACCACTAACGGTATTTTCTCATTGTAAACATTTCACTGTCATTGACCAATTTTCCCTTACATCACCCCAGTAGGATTTGTGAGTGATAACACCTAACTCATTATATACTGGCACGTAATGCCAATATACATATTTTCCTTTTTCTTAAAATGTGTTTTAAGAAACGTAAAAATTTTGAGTGTCTCTTATTTATGTTTTTAGGACAGCAGTGAAATTCATTTCAAGGTAAAGATGACGACGCATCTGAAAAAGCTGAAAGAGTCATATTGTCAGAGACAGGTACAATTATAGTGCAATAAGGCAAATGTATGTTGTGGTGTGTGTTGAGTATTTTTTTTTTTTTTTCTTCATTCTGAATTAAATCAGATTTTTAAAAAATAAATAAAACAAATTATATGTATTTTATTTATACTCTCTTTTTTTTTTTTTTTTTAAACACATATATATTAAATGACCTGTAATGCTGAGTAAGTGAACACGGACACTATTACACTCACTGTTCCAAAAGCTCACACACTCTAAGACACGCCAATATAGACGCGTACAGGATGTGCACTGACAGACATTGAAACGCATTCAGACATACTGTAAGGGAAGTTCATATTACAGGATATTAGGATTTACTCATTAAATAGTGAAAGGTGATGAATCGAAAACCAAATTATAAAATCTGCAAATCTACTGTAATTAATCCCGTGTTTTGTTTTTTGTGTTTTTTTTTTTAAATCTACTATTTTGACCTAAAACTTGAGAGTATATATATATATATATATATATATATATATATATATTATTTTTTTTAATTTTTTTTTTTCTCCTCCATTATCATTTTTTATTGGTGCAGTAAAACAACTTGTACATCACATTATACATAGCTTCAAGTGTCGCTTCTGGAGAAGCTCAAACTGACATCATATGATACACAAGAATAGTCACATTATATAGTAGGTTTAGATACTCTGATATATACAGCTCAGGTATCACTAAAGCAATCAAATTTACTAATATACATTGTATGCACTTGATATGCGTTTCTGACGCCTCACACATGACTATCTCTTATCTTGCTTGTCGTGGTGCACATCTACTCCACCTCACTGCGTAAAATACGTTTTATATAACTAGGTAACGGGGAGAGATACAGAAAGAAAAAAGGATGGGGAAGGGGAACCCTGGGTACCATTCTCTTCAATTATGCATTGCTATACCTGATACGTGGTATTGACAGTGCAGTTTTAGTACCAATCCTATGCCCTTGTGTCTTGGTGGTTAGTGTGACGTGGTTACAGACATGGCCATAGCCCTGTTGATCCAACACTGGGCTGGGTGGGCCGTATGTCTAAATTGCCTTTCAATTTGCTCCCTGTACACATTACGTTGGACCTTCTGTCAGTTAGAACTCCCCCGACCAGTCCTCTGGTAGTCTGTTCCTCACCCTAGTGAGAGGGGCTACCCAAAGACTTTACACCATAACCACTACAGTTAGCTGTAGTGGTTATAGTGGCCCTCTAACTTGGTGACTGCAATAGTGTTGGCTTATGCAGATTGCCATGGGTATGGGCACCTTTGCAAAGTAACATTGTCTCATACCTGAAACTGAGGAACAAACCTTTCTATCTTTTCAAAATAAAATCTGGTTTAATTATCTCCTTGTGCCAAGTAACTGCTGTAGTTAAATGTATTCTGATACTCGTGTAGTGGATATTTTTTTTTTTTTTTTCATGGTTTCTGTAGTGTAAAGATTGTCATCCATTGGAAGACAAATTTTAACCTTTGCTTTCCTCCCTATTCTCTTCTTAATACCTTTCTTATTAATATACAAATTGTCACTAATACATATTTTAGGACAAAATTAATTCCCTGATAGTACAACTTATTTTACAGAATTGATGCACAGCTTTTTAAATTATTAGCCAGACCTAAAATGCCCTCTCCACCTGAGAACGCACATAAACAGCATTTCACGTTGGTGTGTTTGGAGTGTGAGTGACTGTGAAAGTGGGGTCTACATATTATGTTTGAATGGATTCGTAATTATGTCATTATGTTTGAATGGATTCGTTTTTTTATTTTTTTTGTAATTTATTTATTTTTACATATTTATGTGGTTTTATTATATATTGAGGAATCTGCCTGACAACCTAGGCACAAAGTCAAGCACATTTAGTTTGCAAGCCCTATATATGACCCTACAACTTTCCAAAACACCATGATATCTATATTGGGTGGGGGGGGGGTGGGGTGAGGTTGTTGTACTTGTGGGACATCACAGCGTACAAATGTGTTTTATTGCAGTAGAAGCTAACCGTATTATCGGTCATAGTTCTGCCATGCAAAACTTGGGAAATATCACTTCTTAATTTCTAACACTTACAGCTGTTACCAGGAAGCCCAAGGTATCATCTGATATCTGAGGTTCCTTATGTCCCTTTTGGACCACAGTTAGTGTCCTTAGACGGACAGATGAGCTATATGCTGTGCTCAAAGTTATGTATCCAGCTTTTTAGATGGGCTGTACATTCTCCCCCTCCCCTGCTTATTATTCTTTTTTGAGCAGGATTAAATCCAGGGAGACTTGGGCATCAATCGATACCTGGGGCTCCCCACTGTCTGCTGGCACCATTTTTAGTGCTGCTTACAGCTATATAAATAGTGCTTTAAATCCCTGTGGCTGCAATGTGATGTAGGCATGGTTAAATTGCTGCATTCAGCTCTTTGAACTCACCGCGGGTGTGCAGTCGTGCTCACTGCATTGATTCTAGGGCTGCAAACTGCCCAACAGAGATCTCCAAGGTTTAAAAAGACTCTGACAAGGTCTTCCTGCTTGCACCCCTGCTTGCTGTGAGTACAGGGACTGCATACCTACGTTTCAGCAATACATGGCTATGTCCTTGTAATACAGAAAATTCCCAGTAGATGGCAGTCACAGACAACTCTAGTGTTTAAACCCTGCAACCCCTCTGCTGATGTGAGTACTGTTCTCGGCAGAGGGAATCCTTCTAAGGTAGGATTAGGCTTAGATATAGAGCCACTGTTTGATGCTTCTCAGTATGGTGACACTGATAGTGTCACTTTAATGGAACATTATAGAATCAGAAATGCAAACCTGTTTTCCTGACACTGATCCTAAAGTGGCTGTTTAGTGGCTGTTCATCAATCTTGATCTCAACCAAACCATTGCTTTCCCATTGAAAAACATTGTAAGGCTATTGCATATGTGCCACTCAGCATCTACTCATAGAGATGGATTAAATCCATGCATCTTTATGGGGACCGTTCAGGGTCTCCATGCTGAATGTGGAGACAAACACCAGTGCTGAAGCACCTCTAGTGGCCATCTGAGTGACTGCCACTAGGGGTGTTACTAGGCACCAATAAAAAGTATTTTCTCTGAAAACCAGCAGATTTAAGAGATTGGGGATTGAATAGTAAAATAGAAAAAGTTTAAAGGCTCTTGGACAAATTGCCTGGGGGATGTACTTTCTTCAGATATATACTTTTTTGCTTAGCAGTTTTCGATTCTGTGACACACATTTATTCCTTGTAGAGAATTCTTATTGGAAGTGATTTGATTTTGGTTTGCCATCGTTGTTGCAGTGATGTTAGTACCTTTTTAATTAAATGCAAAAAACAAAGCAATTGGTGAGCTTCAGCGGTGTAACATCATGTTGGTGCAACATCACTGGCAGTAGGGGCGACCGGAGGCCACCTGTCTGCAGCCTAGAAAGGAGGCCGAGTAGAGCTGGACCGCGGCAGCGCCAAACCTTTCTTTTTTCCCGCAACCCACCCCACTAACTCACCCCGCTACTGCACCCTAATACAGAGGAACAACCTCTAGCCTGGGACACGACGGCTGACCTGTTGGAGTATCCCCGAAAACACAGTACTCAGGGGGTTGGAATGCTGCCCCCCTACCCCTATTGACATCCCCTCAACAGGGTGGACCAGATCAGTAGCACCAGACGACGACCCCTCCCCGGTCTAGATATGGGGACAGCCGCTCAAATAGAGACTTAGACATAGGAGTACAAGAAGGGAGAAGAGACAAGGCCATATGCGGACGAAACCACACTCAGATGGCCGGACGGGGAATATGAGACCTTCCCCGGAGGGACCCGCCTCCAGACATGGACAAGGGCGACAGGGCGGAGCACGGAGGGTGACACAGTTAGACGGAACCCCGACCCTGCAACCAGGGCACCACAGTCGGTAGGCACAATAGCTAAACGGATTAACCCAAAGGCGAATGACCACCAAGCACTTGTTGTCCCCAACGCTTTTGTTCCCATCAAGAAATACAGACAGCTAGGACAGTTGGCGCGGCAGAAATCACCCACTTGGGGCGGAACCCCCCCCTCTAAGGGGGGTGGGACATGCTCGAAGTTGATGCAGGGGCTCTAACCTACACGTAACATCCCTGGGGAATAGAGTTGGACCGAGTTAGGTCCCCAGGGGGAATATTCGCAGGAAGGGTCATGCCCCACCTCCCCTGGCGCGCCAATAGGGGACACACCCAAACAGGGAAGCATAGCCACTACACACAACCCAAAAGTCGACACACATGCCCACGCGATCTCGTGGCCAAACGCTAGCTAACGCAGAACGCATAAACAATGCTCCACCGGCAAGCCCAGCACTAAGAGCCCAGCCTGACTTGACCAAGGACCCCAACTAAACCTCTCTACAAAGTCTGACCCTATGCTATTGACCATTACAAATTTTCGAAAAAATCCCAAACGACATAAGGGTTTATTGAGTTTATTAACGATTGTTACAACGTGTCAAATGCCAATGTTTAAACTGCACTGTTAACATGTTGCACAAAAATAAAGCATGTCAAAAAAAACAAAACATCACTGGCAGTAAAGAGGGGTTAATCTCCATATGTGCAGTGGCTCAAATAAAAACGCTGCACTTGCAGACAGACTCCAGGCACCATGACCACATCAAATCTCTGTAGTAATCATCCCACGTATTACTTTAATAGGATATACTATACCTATGTAATACAGAAGCAAATAAAAACTAGACCTGATGTCATTTGAGACTTTGGCGTTTAGCTGAAAGTAGCAAGTTTAGTTATTCGTGTAAGACTCTCCTAAGAGGTTTGACTTCATGTGGTAGGTGAGCTCACACTTTGCTATTTGGAGTAGTACTAAAAACATTGCGTTATTTAAAGGCGTATTTGTGGGGGGTTTTTTGTTTGGGGTTTTTTTTTTGGTTTTTTTTTTGCAGTCCTGCACTTATTTCTGTTAACCTGTTCCAATATTTTTCCGCACACAAGAAAAATGTACAGGAATAACAATTGTACAGCAAAGGTAAAATATACAGTTAAATAGTTTGAAAACTGAAACCAGCTATGTCAAGGTGCCATGGTGGGCGTTGAAACTTCTAACTCTTGTTAATTAAAGGCAAAAGAGGTGGGGAAATTCACCAACTACGTAAACCTTTATATAAATGTATCATGTCGTGGGAAAAAGAAAGTACACCCTCTTTGAATTCTGTGGTTTTACATATCAGGGCATGATAACAATAATCTGTTCCTTACAGGTAAATACTACCCCAAATGAACAACAATACATGACATATTACACAGTGCAATGACTTATTTAACAAAACTAAAGCCAAAATGGAGAGGCCATGTGTGAAAAACAAAGTACACCTTATGATTGCATAGCTTGTAGAACCACCTTTAGCAGCAAATAACACAAAGTAATCACTTTCTGTATGACTTTATCAGTCTCTCACATCGTTGTGGAGGAATGTTGGCCCAATCTTCTTTACAACGTTGTTTCAGTTCATTGAGGTTTGCTGCCATTTGTTTATGCACAGCTCTCTTAAGGTCCATCCACTCCATTTGCATTGGTTTGAGGTCTGGAGTTTGATTGGACCATTGCAACATATTGATTTGTCTATTTTTCAGCCATTCTGTTGTAGATTTGCTGATGTGCTTGGGATCATTGCTGCATGACCCAATTTCGGCCAAGCTTTAGCTGTCTGACAGCCTACATTTGACCCAAGAATACTTTGTTATACCAAGGAATTCATAGGTGATTCAATGATTGCAAGGTTCCCAGGTTCTGTGTCTGCAAAACAAGCCCTATTTATCACCCTCGACCACCCTGCTTGACCATTGGTATGAGGTGTTTGTGCTGATATACTGTTTAGTTTTCGCCAAATTTGGAAATAGCTTTATAAGCCTTCCCAGTTTAATGGGCAGCAACAATTGCTTCTCTAAGACCATTGCTGATTTCTTTCCTCCTTGGCACTGCTAAAACTTTGGCTTTCATAAAGGTGGTCACACTTGCTGATGATCAATTAATCAAGGGCATTTGATTAGCAGCACCTGTCTGCTACTTAGCCTCTTAATTTCTATGCAAGCAGTAAGGGGGCACTTTGCTTTTCACACACGGTGTCGCCATTTTGGCTTTAGTTTTGTTAAATCATGACTCTGTGTAATGTCATGTGGTGTTTTATCTGAGGTTGTATTTACCTAATTTTAAGACCTGCTAAAGAATGGATGATTATGTCCTGATATGTATAACTATAGATTTCAAAGAGGGTGTGTTTTCATTTTCCAATGACTGCAGGTGATCAGTTGGTCATAGAGTGGGGAGGAGTGAAAGAGAAAAACATTTCTAGTAGGTTGTGTAAAGGCAGACCATTCCCCAAGTTTGTTGAGAGAAAAATAAAGTCACACATACCAAAAGGTGTTATATTTGTCCATCGTATTAACTAAAGTGGTCTTTGCTATCTTATCATACCAGTGCTGGATCATTAGGAACCTCCTCCAGGGGACAGGAATTAGGGGCAATATGATTTCTGGTTCTGAAATTAAAATGTCACCAATTTGCTTATGTGTTTCCTTCCAAAATGTAAGTCAGGGGGCATGACCACCATATATGACCGATCCTGGTTTTACAACACCAGCACCTTTAACGGTTTGAGTTTGATGTTCTGTGATGGATTTGTGACGTTCTATAGATTGGATTAGGAATTTATCAGGCCTCAGAAGAGTTATGGGACTAGGACATTTCCTGTCTGGGATATAAATGTTTGATTTGTGCAAAGTGAAATCTGTCTAACCATGTACATGTGCTTTTTGGCTCTGAGTCTGCAAGTTTTCATGGATGTGGTGTATTAGACTTGTTCCCTTGTTTAAGAATTTAATGACACTAACAGATTTTCCTGGTGGAAAATCAGGGTAGTTGGTAAGCATGATTAATGGGTTGGGCAATGTGGACTGTGAGGAAAGCCCGAGTACAGTGTGAAGGCATAGTTTTACTTTCTGAATATATGTGGAGACTCATAATATATATTTCCTTATAGGGTGTTCCTATGAATTCACTCAGGTTTCTGTTTGAAGGGCAGAGGATCTCAGACCACCAAACTCCTAAAGAGGTCAGTATGCCATGTTTCATGATCTCATTACTTGACACAGTCAGTGAGGGCCACACGTTGTATCCGCCCCCTCTTCTTACCTTAAATAAAGTTACAAACTCTCCTGTATTTTAGCACCACGCCAGCCCTGCTCCCCTCCACCTCTTGGTTGAGATCATTAGAATTGACCATCTCTACCAATCCATTGCTTTCTCATCGGAAAGCATTGGGAGGCTAATGCATGCGCACGCACGGCAAATTGCCGCTCTGCGCCAATCGGCATCTCCTCATAGAGATGCATTGAATCATTGATTCTCTATGGGGAAAGTTCAGCTTCTCAATGTAGAGCATAGAGACGCTGAACCTCAGTGCTGCGCATCTCTAGTGGCCATCTGAGTGACTGCCACTGAAAGGTGTCCCTAGACTGTTATGTAAACCCTGCCTTTTCTCTCATACTAAACACACCAGAACAATTCTATCTAAGCCTACAGAGATTGTCCAAACTGTCTGTGGGAGGGGGGCAGTTCTTAGACTTGCAACACTGCTTTTGGAACTATGCTGGGGTGCAGCAATTGGGGAGAAATACAGTTGTGTTCCCAAAGGATTTATTAAACCTAGTTTGACACCTCTTTTTAATGATGATGAATTAATTTTTTTTTAATTTATAATTCTTCTGTATTTCAGCTTGGGATGGAAGAGGAAGATGTTATTGAAGTTTATCAGGAACAGACTGGGGGTCATTCATCGTTTTAAAACTTTTATGTAAATTTTCCCGTTTTACTTTTGGTAATTCCCTTTTCACTTTTTTGTTGCAATTTTGGTTTTAACATGTTTTTTAATGTCATTTACCTACCCTCTGCGAACTGTTTTCTTCATAGTAATATGCTACCGTCTACAAAATGGCCTAATTTTAATGTCCACATCAACTATCAAGCACAGAGTAGTTTCTGACAGCTGCACCGGTCCAGGTCCTATGTTAATATTTTTTCTTTCTCTTCACTTCTTCTGGACAGTGAGGACCTACTCTGGAATCCACATCGTGAATTCACTTAGTGATGAGGAGATCAGTAGCCGGGGACTTAAGATGAAAATGTAAACAAAAATAAAAATTTTTGGGATTAGCTTCTTATCAAACAATAATGAACATGACCCCATTTATTGTCATTGTTCCAACGCCGGCCTAGCAGAAATAGGAATTGTGTTTTTCTAGATACAAGTGGTCATGCAATACAACCCGTTATGGAAATAATGTTTGGTGTATCTTTTTATTTTTGTGGGGCTTGGGTTTTAATAAAAAGGAAAAAAAAAAGTATATTACAAAAAAAGTTTTTTGTCTTTTTGCTTAATTTGAAGTTCTATATATAAAAATAATAAATTGTTAAACTGGAGGCTGAATTCTTCTTGACATGTCATTTTTCTAGTCTGTTCCGATGATTACTGCCTAAATATGAATTAGGGGGAGTAATGAGGCACATGATCATGCTTGGGACAGTGTGCAGGATGCATCTTGTCCCAATACCGGTAGATCAGCAGATACCTGGTGGCTGCTGGAGCTCATTAGAGGTATAGGCAGCTAAACTATTTAGGAGGTCGTGGCTTTTGTGTTAGACATTCATACTGCCTCTGCTCCTTCCAGCCTGTTCATCTCTTCAATGCATAATGTGCTGGGTATTTGCAGATTCCCACTACTTTCTTTATCGCTTCCTCCCACTAACGATCGCACAATGTCCTGGCTCACAATAGCTACTAGTGCCCACTGGAGAATTTTTTAAAATTATTATTTATTTATTTTATTTTCTGACTGCTTACTGCCACTGCCTTATCCTTCTTGACCTCTAATATTTCATAAATTCTCTCACTGCAGACTCACTTCCTGCTTTATCTCTAATGCTACCATTGCATATTCTTCCCTGACTGCTGCCGTTCCTTCCACGATCTTGTATGGCTACAACTGCTTATACATGTTACTCTTTCCTTGACTGTTTTTGGCAAACACTGTGCTACAAATTAGGCTCACAAATCTTCCCCAGCCATCTTCATTTCTGCTGTTGCCAGAATCCAAACTTCGGTAAGATTGACCCTACCTCTCACACCTGGATTGTAGTTTTTGCTTGGAAAACAAGATGAGTTACATTTTCTAACTTGAAACGTAGCGTTTTTTTGTTTTTAACAAAAAAGTGTCCTGCATTTAACTGTCAATTTGGATGCTGTAAAACTGTATAAAGTCTTGTGTAATGCTATTGTAGTTTAGAAGCAGTGAACATTAAGTGGTATTGAAGGCCCTAAAGGTGCACTATAGTCACCAGAACAACTACAGCTTAATGTAGTTGTCTGGATGAGTAGTCTTTCACTGCCAGCTTTTTGCTGTAAACACTGCCTTTAAAAAAAAAAAAAAAAAAAAAAAGTTTACATTATATCCTAGGGCCACCTCCAGTGGCCACACCTGAGCTGGCTTTTAGAGGTGCTTCCTGGGGCAGTGCACTGCATGGAGACACTGAACTTTCCTCCCAGAGATGCATTGATTCATTGCATCTATATGAGGAAATGCTGATTGGCCAGGGTGGTGTAGGCTCCGCCCCTGGCCCACCTCCTTGGCTGAGATTATCAAAGTTGACAATCTCAGCCAATTCAATGCTTTCCTATGATAAATCATTGTGATTGGCTGAGATCATCATCACTTCTGATGAGGTCTGCCAAGGAGGCAGGTCTGGGCAGAGCCAGTAGATTGGAATAAAGGTAAGGGTTTTACTATATTTAGGGGGGCTAGATATAGTGTTCCTTTAAAGAAGCAGAAGTTACGTTCGTGATAGATATATTTGTAGTCGGGGACAAAAGCCGTATACATGATAAGTTAGATATATGAGCAAGTTGGTTGTGGTGTGCCAAAACCAATGTATCAGGTTGGCCTGTAATAAAAGAGGGCCCATCTGTAATAGTATGTATAAGGGGAGAGGTGGGAGGAATGAACCAGGCAGCATCAACCCTGTGGTGTAGTGGGCCTGAGTTAAATAGCCAGGTAACCCCTCCCACAACTTCAGGATAGATAGATATATATATACACACACACACACAAAACTCCATGTTTGCTTGATTTGTAAGCCTCGTTCATTAGATGCAAAATTTTACCTTCTCTGTTTTATTTCCTTCCACTGCTGTCTGAAATCATTGTGTTATCTCGCACTGTCAAATTGTAAATTTTTAATTGCTAGTATTGTAATCTGTGTTCTGGTAGAACTATCATAGGAAGGTTGAGGGCTTTGAGATCTAAATTGTAAACTTGATTAAGCAAATATCCATACACCTAATCCTTCAAATATTTTTCCTAAACAATGTTCCAGCTATGGCACCATGAATGATATTCATATGGTATTAAAGAATCTCCTTGCTAATATAGTGAAATGAGAATCTTTTTTTAATTTGGACTGGGCGATCTTGACATGCAGTCAAAGGTAAGAAATATGTGTAGTTCAAAATAATTAATGGTCTATAGCTACCCTGTCCTAAGGTTCACAGACATCCTACGTCAGACATGTTAACAGTGTTAATGCAGTTACATGTCATCATACAATGATCTTTTTAAAGAAGAAGCAAATGTTACATCGTAAATTTTATTAATGTGAGTTTGTTGGGTTTATTAATGTGAGTGCCTGTTGTAAACCTTTATTTTAATAATTGCATATTTACTTTTTTTTTGTTTTTGTTTTTAATAAAACCAGTGTATTTTTGTACAATGCACAGGTCAGGCTAAAAATGTGATTTGGTTGTAACAGTCCTGCAGGAAGTGTGTGGGGGTTTTATTTTATTTCATTCCTCCTCCTCTTTTACTGGGAGCGGTAGGCCCAGGAGCTCCAGGAACTCAAAGTATGAGAACACCCATGGTCGTGAAATAGCCTGCGTCTGGTCCATGCCAAGAGATTCCTGCAATAGTCCACGACTAAACTGTAGCTGTTGTTCCAATTCTGCTGTCTGTCTAGAGGGGGAGAAAAAAATAAAATATCAATATACAATCCATTCAGTAAATTGACTTGTATTATGTAGGCAAATAGTGGACTGTGAGTACAGCTCTAGTTTTGCTTCTACTTGTTGCCTATATTGTCCCAACATTTTGCCAGTCAAGTCCTCAATGCTTGAATAAGCCCCCAAAAAGTCATTCCCTTGTAGGTTCAACTTTCAGTTTTTCTTTCAAGTATTTTTATTGGAAATGGACAGGAATAAACAAGGATGAAGTTCTGATGTTATAGATAGGAATTATTTTATGAGCCCACCCTATTTAATAAAAGAACAGTTCAGTTTAAATTTGCAGAGCATAATAAAATGATAGGCATTTATACATCTAGACTAGTTGTAAATCATGATGTAGATCCTGTATAGTGAGATTGTCACAATGAATCCATGTAAAATATGGTTGCCAAAATAGATCACCCCTACCCCACAAACCCTTCCCTTTATGTAAGAATTAGTCAATGAATGGTGTGCAGCTTAACTTGTTTAACTAATGCTTTAAAAGAAGATTTCAAATAAAAAAATAAGTGTAAATGGATTCTAAGTAGTCCACTTTGAACATGTAAGCTAGTTTAACAGTACATATTGCCAGATTAGGCCTGCCTGTCCACATGTTTAAGATGTTTTATTATGGTTGCTGCCAAGATATGAACACATTTCAGTGGTTTTGGGTATACCCAAAATTGCTATTTCTGGGAGTATAATATTCAGATGTAGTAAATCCATGATATAGGTTTCAATTTCTACACCAAAAGATACATACTTGTGGACCGCTTCAAAAGCTATGGAATAATTTGGCCTGTCACCTAATTCAAACAAGCCTGTGAAGCTCACTAACAATCTGTGCATCTCCTGGTGTAATGGTACAGATAACAATCAAAGAAATTCATTGGTAGCTGAAAGGATTGTGTCTGATGATTAGGTGGTGACATTGAAGTAGATATTTTACTAATTGAGTAACTATAATATAATACGGTTTGGTTGTTTCATTTGTCCAGTCTTTGATCCCAATCAGAATTTTTAAATTGAATAATACAATGTTCATATAGCTGCTTATATTTAGGTGATAAAGTGGGGTGTATAAAATTAGATATTAGTTCCTTGGTAGAGTGTAGTTAAGAACTTTGTGGTGGTTCCGGTCTCTGCAGTCCTTCATACACGTCAATATCCCCAACTCCCAGGCACTAAACAGTTTCTCAGTAGTACCAGCTTGGAAGCTTGGGTTATGGGTAAAGGGTAAGATCAGTTATTACCAAAGTAGGCCTAACCGCAGATACATTTCGAGGCTTTAATTGTTATGTACAATAGGGGATTGTGTTAACTTCATGAGGAAGAATAATATAAGGGGTGTGCAACAGGTAGGTCAGTTATGTTTGTGGGCAGAATTGGTGTTCAAAGATTGTGTAAGAAAATTTGATGGACATTCAACCCAGTCCATGGCAAGATGGTCTCTAGAAGGTGGTGAATTTGACGCTGAGATGAAATGTGTGCTATTGCAAGTCTCAAGGCCACCCTCGCCGTCTTTCCATTCACTTTCAAATCAGGGGAGGGGTTGGCAATGTAATCATTATGAGCTTGAGAAAATGCAATTTCCCATGTGTCGCATCTAGACTACCATTTCGAAAGAAAGTTGTAAGCGAAGAGTCACTAATTTTCCTTCATGGATATACTTTAATGTGGACCAGCCCCTGATCTCTCCATCGCAGGATCTATAACTTGGCTCACGATAGTAGGAAGTGAAAACAGCCACAAACCACCTGTATGTCATGCCTCTTATAGTGTATCTAATAAACTTCCACAAGGTGAAAGTGTGTCACATTACATTAATGTGATGTGAGCAGGGGAATGGACGTGAAAGAGTGGGCAACAATTCCTCCACAACAATGTCAGAGACTAATAAAGTCATACAGAAAATGATTACATCAAATTATTGCTGCTAATGGTGGTTCTACAAGCTACTGAATAATAAGGTGCACTTACTTTTTCCTCACATGGCCTCTCCATTGTGGCTTTATTGTTGTAATATGTCACGTGTTGTTGTTAATCTGATGTATTTGACTAATCTTAAAATTGCTAAGGATGTCCGGATATGTAAAATCATGGAGTTCAAAGAAGGGGTGCACTTTATATTTCCCATGACTGTATGTTTATAGTTTTGTTACCATGTTTGTTAAATTGATCCTGTTTTTTCATTTCTTTTGTTATTTATTTTATTTTATTAAGAGAGGGTGCATCTTAGACCAGATATTTTCTCTACATACTACTATGCTCTTTATAGTGTATACAAAATACCTTGCCTTATATATAACATTCAATTGCTTTTCATCTCGTTATATAAAAAAAAAAAACCCTGACAAAAAGAGTTATGCTTAACTGGTATGCTAAACTGTTGTATGCAATTGTTGTGTGTCTATGAATATACTGTTTCTTCTTCTTGTCATGCTTTAAAGGGAAACTCCAGTGCCAGGGCACTGCATGTCCCCTCTCCCTCCCATCACCCATCCCCCGATAGCTGAAGGGGTGAAAACCCCTTCAGGTCACTTACCTTTTCTGCTTGCCGCTGCTCCTCCCAGTGATTACGTCAGCCGGTGGGCGAGACTGATCCCGCCCGCCGGCTGAGGAGACCTAATGCGCCACGCATGCGCATTAGAGCTCTCCATAGGAAAGCATTGAAAATGCTTTTCAATGCTTTCCTATGGGGAATTGAATGACGCTGGAGGTTTCCTGTGCTATGGACACATAAGTGCCCTCTAGTGGCTGTCTGGTAGACCGCAACTAGAGGTGGAGTTAACCCTGCCAGTTAATTATTGCAGTTTATAAAAAACTGCAATAATTACACTTGTTGGGTTAAGAGTAGTGGGAGTTGGCACCAGACCACTCCAATGGGCAGAAGTGGTCTGGGTGCCTACAGCAGTGGTGTACATACCGGGGTTGCAGGAGTCGCGGCAGGCGCGCGAGGGAGCACTCTCCCCTGTGGGAGATGAAGAGAAAGCTCTCAAGAGAGAGTGCTCCCTCACACGCCCGCCAGCCTGCCCGCCGGGTCACACCACTGGACCCCAGGGAATCCACTCAGCACTCCAAAAGGTAAGGAGGCTGGGGGGGATTAAATTAAAAAAAAAAGTGTGTGTTAGTGTGTGTGTGTGTCTGCCTGCTAGTGAGTGTCACTGAGTGTCTGTTATTGAGTGTGTCTGGCAGTGAGTGTCAGTGAGTGTGTTACTGTGTGTGTCTGTTTGATGTCTGTTAGTAAATGTGTGTGTTTGTTTCGTAAGTGAATATGTATGTATGCCTGTCGCTGAGTGTGTCTCTGTCAGTAAATGTGTATGTCTGTTAGCTAGTGTGTATGCGTCTGTTCGTGAGAGTGTGTGTGTGTGTCTTCAGCACTTACCTTTCTCCAGCGCCGGACTCCCTTGGCACTGGGGATCCCTCCGCCTCTCAGCTCTGAATGCGCATGCGTGGC